GCAACATAATTAACTTCCCTGTCAGCCAGAACAGTTCTGTCATAATTCTAGTCATTTTTCCTGGGCAATAAAGCTTGTATTGCGATAAAAATTCATTTCTGTGGTTCAGCCAACGAGTATACTGTTCTAAATTATAGTCATTTGCCTGTAGTGAATCTACGAAAAGATGTATCTAACTTGAACAGCAAGGTTAAGCCTCTCATGTCGGACCAGACATGAGTCTGGAGAGACAAGAGAGCATACTAGTAGTGGTACAAAGACAACTTATATTTTCCATCCATGTCAGTTGCCTCCGAGTCCGGCGAGCATAAACCTCGCTGCAGCTACTATGGCGGCCTTGAATGCCAATTTCCCCTCAAACCGACCACTCTCGGGCTTGTCCCCCATGCACCTGACTGCTTGCCCTGGCCCAACGACGGGCGCTCAATCTGCCGCTGCAGCTGCTGCCATGGCGGCCGCAGCCATGGCAGCCGCAGCCAACTATGCCAGTCCATCGCCTGCATGTAATGGACTCACTCCGGCTGGGCTGAGTCCCTCCGCAAGTCCAGCCATCTCTGGTCCTCAAATCTGTACGCCTCCACCGCCACCACAACCACCACAATCACACCAAACAACAGACCAACTTTCAACGACCGCAGCACTGGCCTTTTAGTCACTAATGCAGTGGACAGGCTTCGGGCAAGTGTTACCACGACTGCAGTCAATTCTAGTGGAAAGGTGACCATGAATTGTGTCTTTTGTCAGGTTTGTCACACAGGTCGCTTAAAGTTGATTGTTGAGCTGGATTTCAGCCCAAAACGCCATCATTAACATTCATTTGACCATAATCTGCTCTGAACACAGTATTTACGTGAAATCACTAAAGAACTGCCGCCATTTTGATCCCATGCTATTATTTAGAGGCAGTAGAATCTTCTAATAAACCAGGCTTAGACCAACCGCTTTTTCAACTGGGTTCATAAGTTTTATTTTGTGGCTGTCCATCTATAAATATGGCGCAAAATTAAACCTCAAGTAAAATGTCGCTCAATCTAACTTAATGAATTATTGCATTAGATCATTGCATGTATAACAGTTCCTATAAATTAATTTATACTTGTTCCTTTTACTAGTTTACTCAAATATTTGGTTCCTTTGGAAAGAAATCAAGATCTATTTATTATTTATTAGATGAATTCACCCTATTTGCGTTTAGGTGATAAGTGGAAGGAAAGTGTTGGGTGAAGAGATTTGAAAAAGACGACGGCGGATTTCTATTGGCTAGCTGTCGATTAGCTTTACTGGAACATTCATGCTGACGCTGTTTCCGAGGCAATCTCCTTCGATTCCAGTGAAAAGGTGCTAAGCTTTCGTCCGTCATATGACGGACATCAACAGAGTGAGGTAACATCGTCACAACAAAATTCAAGCTAACGAGTCAAGATCTTCGAATATCTTCACTTAACACTTTCACTCGAAATGGAAGTAAGCTCAACAATTATGAAACAAGATATTCCTCAAAACCAAAATTTTATTCGCATGAGTGGAAGGGTCGTTGAATTTTCCCACAATTATATGAGTAAGCCTTTCGTTTCCATTGAATTTCACTTAGCCTTGCTTCTTCAAAATGTTATCCCATCCAGGCTGAGGTGGACTGAATTTTCGACCTCGCCTAGATTTAATCAGCACCGCCAACGGGACTTTAGCCATGACAGCGTAGAGCATAATCTCAACACGTTAACCTCTTTCTTGTAATTCATATCTGCTCTGGTATCCAAAAGTACTCTTATCACTGTGGTGTAGTGGTTAATGTTTTGAGATTGTACACTGCACTGTCATTGCTCGAGTTCCGCTGGGGATGACGCCTAGCCGAGGTCGAAAATGCAGTGCATTTCAACCTGGATGAGAATACCTTTTGGGATAGCGAGGCTATATGAAATTCAATGGAAACAAAAGTCCACTCATACCATTATGGGAAAGTTCAACTGCCAGTCTCCTTAGCAACTTAAACGAAATGGGTGAATACACCTCATATATAAATTCCATGATTTTCTAAACAGAGGCATTATTTTGTTGCTTGGGTTATATTGGCTCAGCTTAGCAACTTCCTTAGTAGGGGGATATTGCTGCTTTCGAGAAAGTACAGATTTTTCAAAAATAGTTGACTTCCAATACTTTGTTGTTTCTAGGCTTTATTTTAACTGAGTTTATACGGGTTTTCTTTGAACCTCTTCTTTTTTCATGTAGGTTCCCAAGATTAAGCTAATTTTCATAAAAACAATCAGAAGAAAAAGCTTTTTATCATAATTAAAAATTCAGCCCAAGAGCCTTTCTGCAAATATTTTTATTGTATGTATACCATTAGTAGCTTATCAAGCTATCAGTTAAACTATTTCTATATTATTTGTAATGCTATTATCTGTGTTATTTAATGCTATAAACTCGAGGCATCTAGGGTCGAAAAAGGTTATGAAAGACCTGGTTCTTGGAATTCCCCAAATAAAATGAGTTTAAAGCCTTCCAAAAGGATTCCTCATCCTGACCGAAGTGAAATTTCGGTCTTGTGTGAGTCTTATCAAAATCCCAACAGGATTCAAAATCGAGTCCTTTGCGTCAAACCGGAGAGTTGCCTCCGTAACAGCCACATTTACCACTGTATAATAGGGCACGTGATACATTCAAAATAATCCATGTGCCTTCAAATGATATAAATAATTTAACTAGGGTGGAAAAATCAAACATGCATTTTGCTTTAAATTCAACATTTTTAATATAAATAAAATGAGTAAGTTTATAAAATATAAGAACTTGAGTCATATCAGATCACCAAGGTTTACGGTTGAACCAAGTATTCGAAAAGTTCATCACTAATGTAAATAGTAATTCTTTTGCCTGGAATTGCCAGTACAATTTTTTCTTATGGAAAAGTCTGCCTTGTCTTAAAATTTGCATCTGTTCTGTGACCTATTAGCACCCATAAATGCCTTTCAAAGTGACAACCTTGTTGTTTGATGCATTCTGTTTGATCTGCTGATAGGACCTAGATGATATCTAACTTGTAATCAGCATGGATAATAAAGGCTTCCGAGAGGCAAATATAATTGCACTTCAGTCGCATTTTAAGGCTTTCTATTCTTTTCATTGTGAAATCTCATAAATTAAGATTCCCATAACATTAGGCGACCTAGATCGTCTTTAATTATTATAGAAGTTGTTTGACCTTGTTTTCGAAACTTGGTCATATTGGTATGAAGACTGAGAGGAATGCACCTTGTCCGGAGTTCATTGTATGCAGCATCATTTCCAGACTAGGACCGTGGACGTGGTACATTCCCAGACGTTTCGCCGGCACCGTAGTTGGCATCGTCAGTGAGTCTCGCCATTCGTAGCACCATATTACAACTCGTCAAAGAGACAAGTGAAGCCCATCCTATAACCAAACGTGTGCTAAACAGTTGTGGTATCTCCCCTTCTGCCCTGGGCTATTCACATTTCCTATATCCTCCTATCATGTCCTGCCTGTCACAAATTTATGCCGTGCTTATTTTTAATGTAGTGTGGTGTGCTCCTTCGAGTGGTATTCAGGAAAACCCTTCACACTCCACACTGTCGCTCTCAAACCCTTCACCCTTGTGTTTGGAATGTTGACCAGTCTGCCATATTGTTACGTAGTCCTTCCATGGGTCCTATCAAAGTCTCCCTCTTGCCCCATCGGATCCGTCTGCTATCTCCCTGGTTCACGTATTTCACTCGACCCTTGCCCCTCCCCCATCTGTGCTATTCGAGGCGTAATTCGTCCATCCCCTGCACCTTGGTGACCAATTCGAAGCTAAAGCCTCTGAGTAAGTCTCATGGTCATGCCTATTCGACATGTACCACGTCTCTCGTAAAACCTACTGTCAGCCAACTAGCTCCACTCGCCGCCTCGTCTATCCTGTCTCTATTCCTACTACCAAGTCTATGACTTGTCATGCCCTAGTTGCTCGTGTGCCAACCCACAAATGTTGTGGTACTGCCGGCTTTGTTTAGGTTCAATTTAGAAACTTCATGGTGCTATCTCTCTAAATGGAATTATATTGCCTGAAATTCGTAAAGTTCCATATCAACGAGAAAGCACACAATTTTCTTATTGTCTGCATAGAATGACAGCGATTCCGACACCAATGACTTGGAGGAAACCTTGCTTTGCAATTGGCATTCATCACTTCGTGAAACCAAAAAGGTCTTTCTTATTCAGGGTGAACTCAATTCCTCCCTATGGCTTTAGCTTTAGATCCAGCCGGATTTTAATTATGGATATGTTGATTATAGAGTAAATATGTGGGAAGCTAGCCATTCGATTGAGATGATAAGTATGACCTAATAGGCAAGATTGTCTCTCTCATCATACATATTTGAAGAGAATTTTTCACAACTCATATTTGCCTTAAACTTAACGAAGTTATGATCCTTTTTACTCTATACTAACAGATTTACCTATAAGCCCACATATCCAGATTTCCTATTTAACTTTGAGTACTGTTTAGCCAAAGACGAAATGAAAATAGCAGAAAAGTTTTCTGCGATAAACGATCCAGTGAAGCTCATAAAAAAATCAGGACTTCGCCTTTAGTTATAGTGACCTCGCCTAGATCATACCAACACCCCCAGCGGGAGTCAAATCACAACAGTGCAGCGTTTAATCTTGGCAAGTTAGTCACTATGCCACATTGCCACGAGTGTCCTTTGATCACTGGACAGATGTGAATTACAGTCCACCCTGGATGAGAACATCTTTGGGGAGATCAAGGACATGTGAAATTCAATGTAATCGTCAGCTCTACGCATATCATTGTGGGAAAATTCAACTATCAATTCTTCATCACCTTAGGCGAAATAGGATGAATACATCTCATGTATACTGCATGTTTGAGCCTTGGAAGAAGCTATAGTTATCTTGCCGATGCATATAGTTCAATTTTTTTAATTTTAACGTCTAATTCTCCGGGTATTACAATTATCATAATGTTGGCATTAGATTAAGAATTGAGTTTGGGAAGAGAGCGAAAAAATATTCAATAGCTAATGTTGTTTTGCCGAAAGTAATAAACTAAGTTACAATAAACCACGCTTGTAAATTACAAGCCAAAATTTCTGTTTCTTAAGGCAGTCAACAAGAATATGAGTTAGCCTGATATATCATGGGCTATGAAAGCTCGGTACGGAATAACAGCCGGTTATGTACAGCTTTGAGCACCGTATCCTCAGTTCGACCCAGCCTATATTTTCAACTCCAGTATTAATTAACTTACAAATGGCTCCAATGTTTCCTAGCGAGCAATATCTTCGTCTACTTCTGGATATCATAATATCTTTCATATTTGCGCATGCAAGAGATTATGGCTTATGTGAATTGAAAGAAATTAAAGTCCTTATCTTAGATGTGAGTTGGTTTTAAAACTTTCAGGGTGACTAAGTTCTTATTAAAAAATCACACTTTGTTAGCATCCCTATATTGAAAAACAGTTTACTTTGAATTAATTTCCCTTTACCTCAATGATATAAGTAGAGCTGAGGTTTCCATTGAATTTCACAAAGCCTTGCTTTCCCAAAAGTTGTTCTTATCCATGCTAGAGTGGACTGCAGTTTCGACCTCGCATAGGTCTTATCAACACCCACAC